CGGATGGATGGATGGACTGATAATCGGATGGATGGATGGACTGATAATCGGATGGATGGATGGATGGATAGATGGATGGATGGATGGACAGTTGGATGGATGGATGGACACTTGGGAATCCACTAAATAAATAAACTAAATTGTTAGTTTGTAACAAAACCTGTACACAAAATGATCCTCCTAACAAACAAAACAACTTCCCTGAATTCATAAATAAATAAGTAATATAATAATAATCGACTATTTTAAACATTTTGACCTGAACCATAAAGATTGTCCAGTGAAATGATCCGTTATGAAACCCTCAGCGATGGTTTCATCCTGCCGACTCAAAGCCCTCGTCCGTCTCCTTTAGCTAACCGTCTTATGAAACGCATCAGCCATGAAATCAGCACAGAAACGCCTTCAGAGCGCCGACTGAGCACCGACTGGTCGCACCTTTCGGATCAGCGCTGTGAGCAGCTGCTCATCAGGTTTTACATAACAACCTGCAGGGTGTGAAGTTTCAACCTCAGTCTGTGTTTCTCACAGAGCTGCTAACTCTCTCAATCTGGCTGCGTTAACCAGGAAGTCTGTGGGCGATGGCGCCTTTTCTTTCCTCCGCTGAATGTGGGCCTCTTGGTGAAGCTGAACAGTACAGCTCTGTAAAAATGAACAGCCCTCTGCACTGAACGCCGTTGAAAACCTCATTTTTATTCCTCCAAATATTTTTTTCTGAACTCTTCCTGATTAAAACATTAGTATTATTGTTTCTAAATGAATATAAACTTGTTTTCTTTGCATTATTTGAGGTCTGAAAGGGCTGCATCTTTTTGTTATTTTGACTATTTCTCATTTTCGGCAAATAAATACTAAATTTCCAAGATCCAAGATTTTTTCTTTAAGTGGGATGTTTTTATAGTTCCATCTGGATGTCTAGTAAATATTTAAACATTTTATTAAAGGTAATTCAGACCAGGCTGAAGCAGTCAGACTTCTGTTTACAGAAGAATTACACTGCAAAACTGTATTTTTGACCTATTGTCTAGTGCAAATATCTTAGTAGACTTGACATAGGACAAAACTAACTAATATGTTACCTTTCAGCAAGATATAGGAGCTTGTTTTTAAATAAATAATTCCTTAATATTGATTAAAAAATACCTATTCCATTGGTAGATTATTTCATTTGTTACATGGAAAAAAATGTCTTATGAGTTAGTTTATCTGCCAATAGAACTTTTTAATCAATATTAAGGAATGATTGACTTAAAACAAGCTCCTATATCTTGCTGAAAAGTTTACTTGTGAGTTAGTTTTGTCTTATTTTAAGTGTAACAAGATATTTGCACTAGAAACTAGATCAGATATTCTTTGGTAAGATTTTGTGTTTTTGCAGTGTTTGTCTGTAAAAAGCAGCGCGCTGTCTACAGAAGTAATGATGGACGCCGCCATCTATGGATCTGTTTGAAGTTATTCAGCAATGGGAGCCGGCAAGATCATAACGAAGCTAATAAAAGAAAGAACGACTAAAAGCAACGGCCTTTTGTGGCGCATTGATCGCAGCTTCTGCAGAGAAGTGAAGTCAGAGCGAAGAGCGGTTTGATTGTGACGAGATGTGCTTCAGTGACACAGACTTCTTTCATAAATTAATAATTATTTTCAGCCATTGTTTACGTCCAGATTTACAGCGTCTGGCTTCTGCTGCTGCAGAATTATGATTCATGTCTCACATCAATGACATAAAAGCTGGATGAAGATCAGAACTGGGCCATAAAAAAGTTGGATACGGGTCACATGTTTGGGGAAAAATCCAATTTAGGACAATTTGAAGAGACCAGACAACCTAAAAGTAGAGATGGGTGGAGTACCCAAAGCAAGCAAGAGTAGCAGTACTTCAACATATTTTTACTCAAGTAGAAGTAAAAAGTAGACGTCCAAGAAATTACTCAAGAAAGAGTGAAAAAGCATTTGGTTAAAAAAGTATTAACCAAGTACTGAGTAACTGATCAAATGATCAATCATTTAATATTTAAAAATTACACAATCAGATGGACCAAAACGTAAAGTTAACTGGAAATGTTGGTGTTTTAAGGACAAAAGTGGCAATAATTCATGTAAGTAACAAAAAATAACAAAATCAGGCAAAATGAAATGTTTTTCCAAATCAGTTTCTTTCATTAACAAACTTACGAAACTTTAATAAAACTGCAGGTGTGAGTCTGTGTCTGGTAAAAACATGTTTGTTTTTCATTCAGTGGGTAGAAAAGTCCAGAAATTTTACTCAAGTAAGAGTAAAAATACTTCATAATAAAATTACTAAAGTAAAAAGTACAGTGTAGAGAAAAGTTACTCAAGTAAATGTAACTAGTTACTTCTCAAATCTGCCTAACAGTGATGGTGGAGAAACCCACACAGCTTTACATTTTGGTAGGCGGCCATGTTTTTGCAGACTGCATTGCCGTCGCCTTTCCAGTTTTGGATGACTGAACAATGTTCAAACTCTGCTTTTAACTCCTAACTTGTCTTAACGTAGTTGTTGTTATGCATTATGTTTTCTAACAAATGAAGTCTTTCCACATTATGCTCACTATTTAGAGTTGCTTTTGAACCATAAGAAATGAAACATGTTTGATGTGCATTGATGATTTTAATGACAGTATTTAGCAAAATGAAACAAAATGTTACTGGTTTTCACAATTGTTGACTATATAATGTATTATTTTTTTCTAAACCATTTTCATTTTCTCCAACTTCAGTTATTTTCACTGTAACAGGATTAAAAAGAAGAATAATCTACGGCAGTAATAAGTTCCTGCAGCTTTACCAGCCACTTTCTGCCATGGAAATGGTGACTTAATACTTTAAGTGCACTAATGTCTTTATTTCAGTTTGAACAGAGCGTTTTACGCGTCCTCACAAGTCTTTCATAATTACCGCATGTCACTGCTAATGAATAAAAAGCTGATCTTACCGGCGGCGGGCTCTTTAGAGGGAAACAGCTTGTTATCCAAAGTCATGCTGATGTTGCAGAAAACCTCCTCCTCATCTCGATCAGCATCCAGCTGAAACAGGCGAGAGGAAAATGATATTAACTGTGCTGTTTAACACTTTCTCGACGTTACCTTTTGTTGCTTCTCCCTTTGTTCCCGGCTGAGTTTGACAGATGAATGAGGCTTGAAACGAGCCGAGGCGCTCTCGGGTCGTTCTGCATTCAGAGCACACCGGAAGCTTTATTAACACCACATTAATTAGCTTCTCCTGCGTGTCGATCGCCCCCTTTCAGAGCCTTCAGAAGCCCGGCTCTCTTCCTCTACATGATCAAGAGGAAAGAGGGCCGTGACAAATAAGGTTTCTGAGTGAACTTGAGACTTCACTTTACTAATCTGCTTCCAGGAAACCCTTATGTGCCATTCAGAAGAAATTACAGCAGCAGAAAGGCAAAAAGTGACCGCAGAGTGTAGAAGGTGCCACAGTAAAATGGCAGTTTAATCTAAATGCACTGCAGTCTTTGATTACAACGAAATATTTAACCAGACAATACACATGGATCTGTTTATCATGTCTGTGCAGTAGATTTTGTTATAGCGGCTTAGGGTACAGGCTAATTTACTCACAATTAGCCTGTTTAGCTTAGCGTAGCTTAATCATAACTGTATTTTTTAGCACCGTTAAGCTAACTCTACTTATCAACTTAAAGTGCAAATTATTTAACCATTATAGACTACAAATTACAAACAGGTGTTTAATATACTCCCCTTTCTACTCACAATTAGCCTGCTAAATTAGCATAGCTTAATTGTATACAACTCTATTTTTAGCGCCGTTAAGCTAACTCTATTGAACTTATCAACTTAAAGTGAAAATTATTGGCTCATTATAGACGACAAATTATAAACGGGTGTTTAATTGCTCCCTTTAATTCTCACAATTAGCCTGTTTAGCTTAGCGTAGCTTCACTCTATACACTATTTTTAGTGCTGTTCAGCTAGTTCTATTCAACTTAAAGTGAAAGTCATTGAAAAAATATAAACTACAAATTGCGAACAACTGTCTAATTGCCCTCCTTTCTCCATTATGAAGAGTTTTTTATGCAGTTGTTTGAGGCTGCTGCTTCTTCTTATTATTATTATTAAAATCATATCCATCAGCCTGCCAATGGGACTAGAGATGGAAATTAGCCGCTTAGCTATAATCACACGTATTTTCTTGTAAATGTTACTTAATACATAATGTTTCATTTAAAAATAATATAAACTTGAAACAATCAATAACCAAAAAATATATATATATATTAATGGCGGTTATAAAACAACAAAAGGACCTTCTGACTTGAACTATGACTGAACTTCCTGCTGAATCTTCGTCAGGAGAGAAACTCGCTGCACACTCCACTCTTAAAGTAAGCGGTGACAGTGGGAGTCAGCAGAAATGTACAAAAAGGATAGACCTTTACAGATAACAAGCTTCCTCTGGAGGTCACCATGGTAACAACAACCCCCCCACCAAAGAATGAGAGCCTGCATCTAAGTGTGAGATGCGTGGGAGACTCCCTGGAGTCTACCTGCAGAGGAGGAGCAGAGGGGATCAGGCTGAGCGTTGCTCAGACAGGTCTGAGCCACAGGAGAGCAGCTCGCCGCGCTTCCCTTCACAGCCACAACTATCACCCTCAAAAAGGCCGATCCACGCAGATATACACCGGAGTCAAACATCGTTCAGCCTGGAGGTGTTTTAAATGTTTTCTCTCATTTTATTGTGAGAACACAGCAGGAATAGGTGAAAATGTTCCCTGAGATGCATCATCAGCATTAGCTGTGAATTATTTGTTTATTAAACTGTTTTATCATTGGTATTTTTCAGACAGAACAAAATTAGGCTGAAAATAGTTTAAATTAATCAAAATAACCAATGAATACAAAACTCCCAGATAGTTTTGAAGACGTATACAAAGAAAGTAAAGATTTAAATGTGACCTATTATGCTTCCTTCAACAGGTTAGGCTACAGAAAACTTTACTTTTTTTGCACAACATCATTTTAGATAATGAGATTTTAGTCTCAGTTCTGCCTATTTTGAGCCGTTTTAATGCATCTTTAAAACCAAATAATCTGCTGGCCACGTCCCCTAACTCAACGTTTACACTCGCATGTGAAAATGGCTGCGAACAGATGCACAATTATACAACCGTGCATCTTTGAAAAGCAGAAGTTGAGCCTCCTGCATAACCAATAAAAATGCAGCAAGTGGTTTCTGAATAGTTAGGCAACAACAAAACACTTGTCTTTTCCAGCAGCCATTGTACAGCAGTAAAACTAACTGATAAAATGTGCTGGAGTTCCACTTGGGTTGCTAGGTGACAGGCAGGCTGGGCTTCGCTGCGGTTGCTAAGTAACAGTGAAGTGCCTGCTGATTTGTAACTTTTACATTTCGAAGGTTTTTGAAACAGCTAATTTTCCAGACACCAAAAAAACATGAACAAATTCGACATGTCCAAACTTTTACATGTGATTTCCCCATCCTGAAACACAAACGGCAACCAAAAGGAAATAAACAGCTGTTAATACCAGCCCAGTTCCACTGATCAGACTGATGCCTTTGTGTTAAAAAATAACTAATATTGTTCTATGTGATGCAAATATATTGTGCATACCTGTTTTAAAAAGATAACTGTAGCATCTTTAAGCTTATTAAAAATCTATTATTAGCAAATAAAAAGTCAGCATTATAATATTTTACTTTTACACAGTTCAGATTAACATTTGTAATCGCAAACATCTCAAAACAAGAAGAAGATTTGAGGAAACGGACGAGTATTTCACACAGAGCTTTAAGCAGCATCTCCTGTACTGTGAAGCTGTTTCTGTTCTTTCAGTGCAATCTGTTTGATCATACAGCTATTTTTACTTTGGGAGGTTCTCAAAGAGTTGGAGTTAAATATAGACGAGAGGCTGTCAAGGATTTATATTTGACTCAAACGTTTGTTTAGGATATTTAGAGATGGATTTAACGACTGAACGATAGTGTTAGTTTGTTTCCAGAGCAGGATTTCATAATAAAATGCTTTACAGACGTCTGAAAACGCCCCAGAAATGCCTCCTTTGTTTGTTTACATCTGCCTGGATTCTAACGCCGTGCAGGCGGGAGGGCGCTGAGCTCACTCGGGGAATATTTAATTAGCTCAGCCAGATTTCCTAGAACGACACGACGGCTTCAATCCTGGCCTCAACAAACAATTATCTCCACTCTCTGCAATTTGCAGTTGGTGCCTTCAGAGATCAGCAGATGCTTGTGAGAGCAACTATTGCTGGTAAAAAAAACAACAGCAAAACCCCCCAGCCACTTAAATGTAACGTTTGAGGTGGAAAACTTTGTGAAAACAGAATATTTCAGACACTGGTGTCCATGTGGTTTTAAATGCAAAAAAGACGAACAATTAATAGACTTGTATTAATCCAGCAGTGATTTACATCCAGTGTTTATAAGGGAAGTCGAAGCTCCACAAACCAGAGCTGACATAATAAAACAAGCTACTCTAATAACGAAGGCCTCCACTGGGCAAAAACAATTAAGACTCACATCAGTTCATGCATGAGTTTAGGAGTCATTATGACTCACAGCTGAGATTCTTCCAATTATATCCTCCGGTTATTACGATACAAAGGAGGATTAGGGCCACTGGAAAAATAATCTGACTCTTTTCCCCTCAGAATCCTCAATTTAATCTGAGAATTCTGACTTTAATATGTCAATGCTGATTTAATCCATGTATTCTGATTTTAATCTGTAAATTCTGACTTTTCTCAAAATTCAGACTTTTTCCTCATAATTTTGACTTTAATCTGAGAATTCTGACTTTAATATGTGAAACCTGACTGTAATCTGTAAGTATGAGTTTAATCTGTGAAATCTGACTGTAATCTGTGAAATCTGAATTTAATCTGTGAAATCTGACTTTAATCTGAAATCTGACTTTAATCTGAATTCCAACTTTAATCTGTGAAATCTGACTTTTTTCAGAATTCAGATTTTTTTTTCTCATAATCTTGAATTTAACAAAAACATGATTTCTCCTGTCTTAAATCACACTGAAATAAGCTCAGCATCAAATCAATCAATCAATCATGTTTTATTAATACGTAAAGATGAGGTTGAGCTGTTAATCCCACACATAAGATTTTGAGATTTCTTTATTGTTTATATAACAACCTTCATGACTTTGGCCTTAAAATTTGATGGATTATTGGTAAAATTTGAACAGTTTTATGGGGTTGAAGATGAAGGAAGATTTAAATCAACAAACTGGGAGACTCTGTTTCCTTACGATTTAATTTAAAGTAAAATAAATCAAAAACCAAGTTGCTCAGGAGCTGAAAAGCTAAAATAATTAAAAGACGAACCATTTCTTTGACCAAAAAGTGAGTCCATTTATCAGAGTTTTCAGATGAATATTTTGAAGAGAAGGCTTCACTTTGGATTTTGAACAACCTCAGAGATGACTCCAAACGTAATTATTACTATTATTACTTCTGTTTCTGACAGCCTTTTGTTTTCTGAGGCGTAAAACGAAGTGATTGCAGGGAAGATTTGATGAACCAGACAGACACCGAGAGCGAAGACGAGTGACGCTGCTTGCTCCACGCTCAACTGCCAGAAAGTGGCAACAGCAATTTACAGCAGGTTCATGCCATCGATAAGGTCTCAAAACGTTCAAATCACAGAGCGGTGGCTGCAGGCGTGCTTTCATTTACGGCTGTAAAGGGAGAGGAAATTGGGTTTTCTCCAGGTGTCTCACAGAAATACAGCGTTTGGGAGAAAAGAAGAAAACTTTTTGAAAATCACTTTTAAGATAAAACAAACTGCTCACCAGCTGATCAAATATTTGAAACTATGGACCCAAAAAAGAAGAGTTTCGACATGTTTTATCTGAGTGACATTGGAAGACCTCAGTCCAGATTATTGTCATAAAATTAAAAGTTCTTCCAGCTTGGTCGGTTCTCCTCCCTTTCAAAGGCTGTGATGAACATGTTCTACTACATCGCATATTATGGTTAATGTGTTGCAGTTG